TTTCATTGCAAAAGGCAAAAGATACATCACTATAGCAATATTTAAAACTTTACAACCCATAGCTTAAAAAGAAACAGAGTACAAGTTTTTCCAAAACAACTTTGTTCAAAATATAACTTCATAATAGCTTCAACACGATGCAGCATGCTCTATGATGATGAATCTTTACATCCACTTACTAATTATTTCCTGAAAAAGCATGTAAAACGAGCGTCAACTATGAAAATAGTTGGTGAGTTCACAAGTTTATAAAATCGAGGGTACAATAATGCTTTTCGTAAATACAAGTACATTGCTTCAATGATAAACAAGTTGATTGCTATTAATGAATACAAGTTTATTACTATAACGAGAACGAGTTTGTATGTGTATGAGCAAATAATGAGTCTCAACCAAACCTATGACTCAAGCCCTATCGAGATCTATGCTTATCGTTCCATAGATGAATATGGTATCATGCACTCCAGCGATTCGGGCGAGTGAGGAGTTGTCAATTCCTAATAGCGGTATCCATAATGACCATTGGCTCAAAGAGTTAATGGTTAGAGATAAGGGAAAGGCCTTAGTACGATAAGTCCTTATGTTCCGTGTTGCATAGACATACATAAAGAAACATAGCAATACAATAGCAATCATGTTTGATAATAATCAATTTACATACAACATGCAAACAATAGTTTTTCTAGACATGCTTTTCCACCCCAAAACATAAAAACTGAAAATAGGGGATTGTGTGAATACTCACGATGTTTCGTGTAGGCACAAGCGGTACTTCGGGATGCACCAATGTCTTAGTACCGGGATCCTACGACATCAACACACACACTAGTGAGTTTCCATGTCGATATCTAATGCTAATATACTAAACTCTACATATAGGGAAATGCCAATTTATGTTTTAGTATTGGATTTTTATATCAATTGGTTACACTTTTTCTGAAGTATTGAAATTTTACAAGTCGTGCGATTAATTACAACCTTGGAAGGTTAATTTTCCAAATTTTAAGTCTCTATAACAACATAAATTCACGAAAAATAGCATTCGAGGGATAAAAATTCTCAAACCTTTTATTTAACTGTTATACCACAATACTAAGCTGGGAAAATATAAAAATGGATTTCCAAGCTGTTTAATTATATTTTATGATTTATGAGCATTTATTCCAATAAAAATTAAAATAAATAGAAAACAGTTTCCAAAATTACCCAAACTTTTTATTTAATTGTTATTATACATAACTAGGCTGGGAAAAATATAAAATATATTTTTATTGGGTATTTCTATTTTTCCTTGTTTTATTCCTTTAAATAGTCATTAATTAAAGAAATAATATTAAACAGTTAAAATAAATCACCATAAATTTTTGTAACATCATTTACAGTATAAATATCCTGGGAAAAATATCACAAGTGGTTTTCATAATGTATAAACTGGTTTTGGGTATTTATGTGTATTTAAGTGCATTTTAATACAATTAACTTTAGAAAATAAGAGAAAAATAGTTTACAGTAGAGAAAAATCCTCAAAATGTTTATGTAACATCCTACTGTATAATATGATATCCTGGTAAATTTTCATAAATTTTGGATAATCAGAACTATTTTTCCCATTTTTAGACCATTATAATTACCAAAAATTGGGAAAAATAGTACGACATGATGAAAAATCTTGAAATTATTTTCTGGAGTCAGCCATCATAGGTAAGGTATGTGACAATTGTTAGATACAATTTTCACATCTTCTAAAGTGGTTTCGTAATTTATCATGTCCTAAACAAAAGAAAATTAGAAATCATATTAAACTGTAACAAAAATTTCTGAAATTTGGTGAGGGGTCGTTATTCCCCATAAGGATCATCCATTAATTTAGTTGGGATTTATTGACCTCTAGAAGTATTTTATATGATTTATGCCATTGGTTTTAGCAATAATTTTAATAAATCAATGGAATAACAAAAGCTCTTGAAATTTTCCAGATTATCTCATGCATGCAAGGGCTTTCAAAAGGAAAAATGTTAAAAATGTATTCAGAAGAGAAATGAGGGTAACGATTCCAAACAATTTAAGAAAAGTTGCATGCAATAATGCATGAAGTGTAGATGTGGCTGAAGTTCATGAATTTGTGTAGCCCATTCAGTGAGGTTTTTAGCCACGAAATTTCAACCATCATTCGCTAGATATGTTAAGTTTCTAAGGTATTTTTCCTCAGATTTATGGTTGGGTTTAAGGCCATTGATTATGCAAGACAAAAATAGTGATCACAGAAAAAGAGCTGTATGCGCAACCATTTTGTAAAAATTTCCAAAAATCGGATATTTAATATTTTACAGTAAGACCAGTTGGGTTTGAAGGTTAACTCGTGGAACTAATCAATACAAAAATAATATCATGATTTAGTTAAGAAATGACGGAGTTATGGCCGTTCAAAGTCGAACAAAGTAATCTGGCAGATTGCATGTTTGCTTGTGTGCACTATTAGGGTATTTCAACAAGAACATCATGCATGTCTTTGGTAAGGTCCGAGTTCTAGCACATACATGGAATGAATGAGCATCCAAGATGTACTAGAAATGGTTTAAATGCTTTTGGTCATGCATGAACACAAAAGAAATGGAGAAGAACATGAAGTATTAGGTTTTGATGTCACATGATCATATGTGCATCTTTTTCACTCCTTGCATGGGTTTGATCCCAGATTTTCACCATCTCTAACACATGCATTGTGTGATGGTGAGAATCTACAAACCACAAGGGGAAATATAAAGATTTCTAGCCATGGAATGGCATAGAATCCGAAAAGAAGAGAAAACTATGAAAGAAAAGAAGTAAAATCATGTAACTATGGAAGAAGATGATGTTGTTTACCTTTGTTATGATCTTGAGGGAAGTAAGAACACTTCAAGGGCTTCACAATCTCGAAATTTTGCAGAGGAATGAGTGGATTTTCGTGAGTTTAGAGAGAGGGAAGAATAGAGTGAAGTGTGTGAAGAGTGGAGTGTAAGAGAGTGAAGAAAGAAGAGGTGGAGTGAGGGTTTTGACTTTATGATTGTGTTTTGGGAAGAGAGAGTGTATGGGGAGGGGATATGGCTGGTTCTTACATGAATTTAGGCCTCCTCTCTCCAAAATTTTAAACTCTACAAACTTTACCTCCATCATTTATGTAAAAACATTCATTTTTTTATAAAAATGCTTATTAAGCAATTTGATTTATTTAAAAATCTTGTTTTCAACAAATAAATTATGATTAATACTTGGTAATTTAATTTCTATTTCATTGACTATAATTCATAATTTGATTAGTAACAATTTGATATTAGGAAGTTTATAGCCAAATTTTATAAGGTTTTTAGGCTTTATAATTTATAACTTTGGATTTTTGGCTCTTTAGGGTTTTTGGAATATTGTTTGATATTCAACAACATGTTGAAGTATAATTAGAATGTTTTAATTTACTTTTAGGGTTTTATACCCTATTTCAATTATAACAAAGCTTGAAGCTTTATTCTAATTATAGTATTGGCATTTCCTATTGTAGCTAAGCAACTTACTAGAATTATAAGTATCAACTATATTAGTCCTAGACCTTAGTTGGATCCTAGTTTATGCAAGATTTTTGACCTAATTTATACTACTAGGTCATGGCATGTTGTGCATGAATGGTTTTTATAATGGTCATGGCATGTTGTGCATTAATGGATCATCATTTCATCATTTACCATCACTTCAACTTTCTTTTACTTCCATTTTCAATGAGATTTGATTTGATTCGATCCATCTCTGTTGATCCAACTGTAGTGTTAGTTCTTTAAATTTGCGAATCAATATCAAATCATCTTCTTGTTGTTTGATACTCTGTTTTGTGAAACCATTTTCATCTTTTGAGTTTGTTTATACCAACTACCAAATATTAATACTTATTTTAAAAAAGGCAAACTTCTTGCAAAGAAGTGCCATGAAACATAAACTAATCTTCTTCCTTCTTGGGTTTGATGAGTTTTCAAATTTTCTTTTTAAAATGTTAAAGATGGTACATTTTAAATGCAATATGACATTTTTCACATATTTAATTGTATAATTAATGTGTAGTTATCAGTTCTTGGAATCAAGAAGTATTTTAATCGATTAAGGAGTCCAATCAATCAATTTGACTTTTAATATTAGAAACAAATAGACTTTTAAGTTTTAATTATAACATTTAATAATACACTTACCTTTTGGTTTAGTAACAAGATGAGGACTCCATATGTATCCATGTGGAATATCAATCTTAGAGCCTTGAGAACCACTAAAATAAGTGATAGGTCGCAGATTCAACATTTTCTTCCAAACATCATTTATCATGTCTCGAATTCCAAGCCAGATTAAAGAGTCACCTATCTGATATGAAAACTGCAACAACACATGTAAAATACAAAAGTTAATTATGTAATAGAAACTAAAAGAACTACTAATATTAATGATTGAACTTACTCTATATCCTGCTGATTGCTTGACACGGGATAGAGGATGAGGAAATTCCTCCTGTTAAAGAAACTCCATGTTTAAGTTAGACAATATCCTAGCTCAATCACACTCTGAGATAAGGATAATGGGTTCATCATCAAGATAGCGAACTAGATCTCCATAAGGGCCCACAATCAGAAGCATATCATCCCAATACAGCAATACACTGTCCATTCCACACCAAGCAAGTTGCTCTGGAGCTAGGGTAGAATGTAGAAGAAACAAAAACAAGAAATCATTATATAAGGAGAAGAGAATGAAACCTGATTGAAGCCTTGAAGTTGCAGGGACGTCAAACTAAAGATAGAAAGAAGAAACAATTTATTTGTGAGAGAAGACACATGAAGAACGTACCTTTTTGGAGTGAACCAAGAAGGAGTAGGATTAGATGGGTCTCCTTGACGGGCGGCGCGTAGGTCAGTGACGGTGGCGGAGAGGAGAGATGGGTCGGAGGAGAAGGCAGAAGTTCGTGCTTAGGTTGATGACGAGCTTTGGCTTTGATTTCGTTCCAGACCCAGTTGCATTTGTTTTCTCATCCATTGACAGTGGTTTGTAGAGACGATGATGGCATCGTGGACTATGACATGGCGTTTCGATCTTGAACCGGTATCTTGAGATGGCGGAAGTGTGTGCTTAGGTTTCAAGATGCACTCCAAACTCTTAAAGCTTATCGGGTTCGATGTTGGTCGTGGCAACTTAGGGCTTGCAGAGAGAGAGAGAGAGAGAGAGAGATGGAGAGAGAGAGAGAGTGCAGAGGTAAAGGAAGATGAGCCGATTCAAAAGGATGTGCTGATTCAAAGGGATTATTAGGGTTCTATTGTAGGATTCTAGTGTGGATTGAGTTTTTACGGTTCAATGGCGGTGGCAGTGGCGATGGCTTAGGGTTTACAGAGAGAAGGAAGGAGTGAATGCAAAGGGAGATATTGCGGAGAGAGGGTAGAAGCGGGGTTCTTCAAAATTTTAGAATTTTAGATGATTTCGTTTTCCCCCTTTAAAAACGCGCGTTTAGGCAAAAAAAAATATAAAGCGACAAATTTAGAGGACGCACACTTTATAAAAGGTGCCCTCCGCATTTCTTTTTTTTCTTTTCTTACACTAATTTTAGGGCACGCACAAATGCGTGTCCACTATCCTTCAGATTTTGCAAAATTGACATTATTTTATAGGGTACACACCAATACGCGTCATCTATCAGCGAGTGTCACTGTTTGCGCATCATTAAAGGGCTTTTTTCTAGTAGTGAGTTGTCACAATAATAGTCTTTGGTCACCATCTATACTCTGGTAGATGACTACATCTCTAAATCGCCGGACAAGGTTATAGTATCTTTCATCCTACATCTCCGATTCATCATCACCTATCTATCCTTACCTAATTATCATCACCTATCTCTCATCATTTTATTTTATTACACATCAACTATTTCATCTACCCAAGTTTTATCCCAACATATTTGTAGATATAATATAAATATATAGTTTAAATCATTTAAAACATGTAGAAAATCATTCATCCGACATAGACAGCAACTATCCATATAATATGCACACATGACACGTAATTTATATAAATACTTCGTATCTATGTGTAAGATAAAAGTAACTATGCACTCACAACATGTAATTTATATTAAATACTTCATATCTATGTGTAAGATGAAAGTAACTATGCACTCACAACATGTAATTTATATTAAATACTTCGACGAAACAACGGGTTTTTATTAAAAAATCGGGCTTTGCTGGAGCAGCGTTTTCGAGCCAAAAGCTTTTCTTCTCAGAGCTTTTGGGAGCTCTGGGGCTTCCTTCTCGAGCTAGGAAGGTTTCTTAGACTTGGGAGGGGTTTAAGGAGGCTAGAAAGAAGTTAGAGAGAGAAAGAGAGGTGATGGTGTGAAGAAAATAGAAGGATTCATCCTTTATTTGTAGGGATTTTATCGTAGAGTAGTCTCTAAGCTTCTTCCATATATTCCGCGTACGAGCTCCATTTTCTATGTTATTTATATCCATGCGTTGGTATTTACGAGTACTACAACTTTCATTTAGAACTCGTCGTCTAATTCTCATTGTATCTCTGATTTACAAAACTGTATTCGAATTTGTCGTGCTCGAAAAGTAGAGACTAAGATTCGTCCATATCTTTCGCATACGAGCTTTGTTTTTGACGTTATTTATATCCACATGTTGGTATTTATGAGTACTACAACTTTCATTTAGACACCTTTAGCTAGTTATCATTCTATCTCGGAATTACAAAACTGTATCGAATTCTTCACGCTCGAAGAGTAGAGACTAAGCTTCATCCATATCTTTTGCATCCGAGCTCCGTTTTCATCTTTCTTTTTATCATTTAACTCCTATTAAAGATATCTTCATTTCTCATTTAGATTATTTTGGATGAAAATCGACCGATCTAAATTTCGAATTTCGGGTTATGCACTGCTATGCTAAATCTTAGAAAAATCAAAACTTCCTCATACGAAGTCAGATTTGGGCGTTCTTTTTATGCACGCTCTCAGTTTACCATATACGACAACTTTCATATAGATCGCGGTGTCGCGCCGGTTTTGCTGTAAAACTTCGATGGGTCATAACTTCTTCGTTATAACTCCGATTTCGGTGTTCTTTATATGTACAGAACCTTTGTGACATATACTACAATTTGGTTAAGATTATTTATTCTAAATAATGTTCTATCAAAAAGCCATTTTTGATGCTCATTGTCTCTAAAGTGACTAGCCCGGATCTACGGGTGTTACATCAAGCATAAGTCAGAAACCTTTGAAAAGTTCAAAGATTGTAAACATGAAGTAGAGAATTGATTGGGCAAGAAGATAAAGATGCTCTGATTAAATAGAGGCAGAGAGTAACATAGTCTCGAGTTCCATAACTACCTCAAGGAATGTGGAATAGTTTTACAATTGACCCTCATAGGATAACCATAACTTGATGGTTTAGGTGAGAGGTGCAATCGAACCTTGTTGGACATAGTTCGTTGCATGATGAGTTGAGATTTTCTTCTAATTGAATTATGGTGATATGCCTTAGAGATTGTCGCCCATATTCTTAATCTTGTCTCAACTAAGAAGGTTGCCAAAACACCTCATGAAATGTGGACATGGAAGGTTCCCTCATTAGCACATATCAAGGTTTGGGGTTGTGACGCTTTTGTCAGATGAGAGACTCATGACAAGATTGAACCTCAAAGTGAGAGATGTATTTTCATTAGCTACCCACAAAATTCCTTCAGATATTTGTTCTACAGACCTAGTGAGAATGTTGTATAAGAGTCTTTCGCGAGAGAGAGCTCATATGAAAAGAGCACGGTGGGAGTACAATTTGAAGGGTTTTGAGCATTCTAACACTCCTAAGGTGTACATGCAACCCTCGAAACCTTGGATTTATGTTTTACTAAGATACATGCAAATTTGATTTTCTAAGGTTATTAACCTAACTAGCATGGCATGGGGAAATTTTAAACATAATAGCTAGTTGAAGTACATACCTTTTGTTGTTTGGATTCCTTGAGAACCTTGTGAGCGTAGCATTGCAAGTGTGATGCCTCAAATGTCTCACAAAACACCACAACACTTGGAATAACCTTGAGAGAAGTTCAGTTACACTCAAAATTCGGCTAGCCCCCTTACACTTGCTTGTAGTGGCCGATTTTGCTAGACATGGGGTCTTTATATAGTTGTGACACAAGTAAGGTTACACCATGTAAAACCTAATTGTCATGGCTTTCCATATTCCATGATCCATGGGTTTATAACTCCCATGGAGTATCCATGGAGCACCTTATGGGTTTTAGCCCAATTCATATAAACCATGGATCATTAGTCCACTATACAAGAATGAATGATTTAAACAATAAACCCCATATATTTAATTAGTCTCTTTTGATCACTTAATTAATTCCAAATTAATTCTTTGATCAATAATAGTTAAATAATGTTATTAATATATTAGAACTTATAATATATTAATAATTCTTAAGTATCCTTTCTCTTTGAAATGCCATACAACCCAAATGGACCATGCCAACCGGGTCAAGTACATTCCAGAAATAGTTATGAACTTGGACACCTAATCCAACATAATTGACCTTGAAGAGATACAATAGTCAACCGATGAAGGAACCTCAGAAGACACTAGGGTTCAACCAGAGGAAGAGTTTCTAGTTGAACCAGTTGACAATTCGATACCTCTTAGGTGTTCCTATAGATTTAGAATGCCAGATGAGTTCTATGATTTCCATATAACTACAGACGGTGATACATTTATCATTGATAGTATACTAGTAAATTTGGATGAACTGGATAACTACAATGAAGCAATGGTAGTCCCTGAGGCAGCCAAATAGAAAGAAGCAATGGAAAATGAGATCAAGTCCATGTATGCCAACCAATTTTGGAACTTAGTTGATCAAAAACCTGTTCGGAAGATAATTGGTTTCAAATTGACCTTCAAGAAGAAGACCGACATGGATGGGAATGTACACACATTCAAAGCATGACTGGTTGCGAATGGGCTTTACTCAAACCCCAGGGGTTGACTATGATGAGACTTTCTCACCAATAGCTAAGATAAAATCTATTAGCATAATGTTAGCCATAACTGCCTTTCCCAACTATGAAATTTGGAAGATGGATGTGAAAACCGTTTTCCTTAATGGGGACTTGGATAAGGATATTTACATGAATCAACCGGAGGGTTTTGTTAATGCAAAGTTTCAAATAGAATGTGCAGGCTTCAAAAATCCATCTATGGGTTGAAACAAGCTTCTCGCAGATGGAATATTTTTTTCGATGAGAAGTTCAAAGAGTTTGGCTTCTCTAGAAGTGAAGATACGTCCTCTGTATATGTCAAAGCTAGTGGCCATTTAAATAACCTTCCTAGTATTGTATGTTAATGACATTCTTCTTATAGGAAATGACATTCCAACTTTTCAAGAAGTTATGTCTTGGGTTGGAAAGTGTTTCGCTATGAAGGATCTAGGAGAGGTTGCTTATATTATGGGGATAAGAATTTTAAGATACAGGAGTAAGAGACTAATTGGATTTACGCGAAGTAAATATTTGGAAAAGGTGCTAAAACGTTTTAGTATGGAAAATTCCAAGAAAGGAGAACTGTCCATCCAAAGTAAAACCAAACTAATTAAGACTTAGTGTCCGGGTA